TAGCCCAGTTGTTATTGACATGTGTTTGGGTATGCATCAGGAGTATAAGCATCTTAGTAGCATGTTGAGTCCTCTCACCAAAAGGATAAACCAATGAAGGGTAGGTACCTAGTTAACAGCAACTTAGTTTTGAGGGCAGGTTTGAGCACAACTGTGGGCAAAATTTGTGACTCAATGTCCTGCATTTCCTGCTCAGGCCTCAACACATGTGGAGATATAACTGCATGGGTGAGGTCATTTTCTGCCTTCTTATTTGTGGTCAGGAAGCTGTTGCTCACTCTTGTTCTGTTCCTTGCTACAGCTCCTGTAGTGTTTGGTGAGTAAGTGGATGGGCTGAATTCATCTGTGGAAGGGTCAATGCTACTTAACACTCTCCTGAGCTGATCAGGAGATTGTATGGCTTGGTTACTGTGCCTAAACCAGTACTTTGGTAGAGAGTGTATTAGCTGAACCCCCACCTATGCCCAGGGATGGATAGGAAGCATGAAGCTTTGTATTGATGTTACATGAAAAGATGTGGCAGTAGAACATCAAGACCATAGTCATTATGACAGGTGTTTTGGGACTTAACATGAGGTATACCTAACTGTATAATTTTGATACTTGAATTTTCTCTTGTTGCAAGAGACAAATCCTTTTCCTGTAGACTTTGTTTACACCCAGAAATACCGGATTTCTTTCACTGAGAATGTATGATCAGAAGAGGGATCACGATGGCAGTAAAAATTAGACGGTGCTGGAGCAGCATAGATGTGCTGTGTGCTTAAGAGTGGGAATAAAAATAAATATAACAGAAGACTTAATGGTGTTGAGACTGGTTTATGAAACTGCTGATGAAGGATCTATCCAATACTAAAACATTAGTGTAACCTTTGTGAATATAAATAAGCCATTTTCTCACTTACTGGCATTTCAAGCTGGCTGATTGTGTTTGTCTAAATGTTCATGGCTACAAGTTATTTCTAATTGGAATGCTATGAAAAAATAGATAATGCATTACCTAGCTTCAAATGTTCTTGCAAATGCAAGCGTGTTTGTAAGCATTCTAGCTTCTCATTTCCTCGCAAATGATAAGGAAAATAATTAAGTGCTTATCAAGTTTGCAGTGTTTATTTCTCTTTTCTGTTAGTTATTTATTACCTCTCTCTCTTACATTCTTGCCTGCCCCCATTTTAAATTTACCTAAGTTTTTTCCCCCCTTTCTTTCCTCTTCAGAGTATTTAGTCATTCTTGATTAAAAGATGGGGGTATTAATCATGTACTAGTCAACACAGTAAATGGCTGATAGTATTTTGTTGTGCACTGCATTTCTGACCTCAGGTGAAATTTCTCAGTTGTTGTAATGCATAGGAATAGAAGAAACATGCAACTGTTTCTTTAACCAGGTCAGAAATAATCATAATGGGAATTTACTTCAGCCCAGTAAAAGCTACAGGTTTTTGCAGCATGTCTGCCTTTTTGCAAGTCAAATGGGATTTTATGTTCTATTTACAGGGCAACAACTGCATTTGTAAAGGTAGACTGTGTTATTCCTTACTTAAGTGGAGAGAATTGAGAAGCCCTACTGCAGTGTATGCTGCTGATTGTGGAGCAAGTATCTGGCATTTTGTAATGGGCTGAATTTTACATGGTTTGAGCTTTTGTTATAACAAAATGTATTATTGCCTTATAATACACTTGCATACAATACACTAGATACAGGAATTTGCACCAGGAGTTTGTATTTCTGCCACGGTTTTCTTGTCTACGTTACCTGGAGGGTGATATTGTTCACTGTAAAGGAACCAGGGCTCAGACTTGCACGGATGTTAAATGATGCTTTTTGTCCAGAGAATTTGACTGCTCAGTTTTGCATAGAAGTATGCTCTGGCTAGATTGCCATTATCTTTTTCCATTTGAGCTTTACATGGCTTGAGGATGTGACACGATTAACAGAATCACTAGCTTGAAATATAGGTTAAATGTCTGCGGCGTGTCCATCTCCAGAAAATATGGCTTCTAGAGAGGATGGATAATATGTTTAATGGCTTGTACAACAATAATTAATTTGAAAACTTCCTGTTTCCCCACACCCCCTTGTGCTGAGTTGTTGGTGTGAAGCCAGAGCAGGTCTCGGGTCATAACACCTCTTGAAGCTTTTGTTTTCTGTAAGCAGTTGCAAAAGATCCCCTTACAGAGAAGCACTCTTTCTGTTGCTTGTGTTACAGATTTGTATTACAGTGCACAAGCTTTACAAAATGGCTTTTGCCCACTGAATGGAACTAATATTACCAAGTCTAGTGGGGGCATGTGATGCTGACAAAACTGATTCTTAAGGCCATCTAATGTTTTTGCATCAAAGGTTGTTTTCAGCTGTTTTCTGGTTTTGCTGGACTTTGTATTAAGGCTATGTGTGTGCACCTGTAAACCAAGTGGAATTGAAGTCCAAATATCTGCCTGAGGAAGTGGAGTTGCATTTAAATTATCTCATCAGGTAGATCTAAGTAAGGGTTGCTGCTGAGAGGAGCTCTCCTGTCCCTTCCCAGCCATATTCCTGGCTGTTCCTGTGTGTGAGCAGCAGTGCTGGGGTGGCCGTGAGGTCAAACCGACCCAAAATATACTCCAGATTTCAACTGCATTGTTTCTGCTCTTCATCTCACTGTGTGGCTGAAGTGCTGCTGCTGGCACAGGGGAAGGAGTAGCCAGAAGCAGAAGCTGGAGCAGAAGGCGACAAGGAGGGGAGGACAAGTGGCTGACCACAGAGTGGCCTGTTCTCAGCAGCAGCTCTGTGGCAGCCTCAGCCTAAAGTGATTGTGAGTGATAACCTAAAATTGGAGTAAGTGCCTTGATAAAGTTGTGTGTGTAAAATAAGTTCCTATTCTGACCCCAGAAGTTTCTTGTTTCGTTAGGAAATGCTTTTAACAAAGAAAGTACCACTTGGATGGACATTTTTAGCCTTGACATGAGCAGCTGACAGCAGCAGTGCCCCTTACTGAGCTGCACTCTGGGAGCTGGAGATTTTAGAGCACGTTAGCTGTCAAATATGCAAGTTAGTTTTCAGAAAGGTCTAAGACTTCACACTTTCACCCTCATTGCAAAGTTATAAGTGTGATCTGAATGTAGATTTATAAATTATGTGCAATTGCCTACCCAATTTATGCATCATACCGATCCTACAGGAGTTACTCTTCTTAAATTAGTTTCTGAATTTAAGATTCCTCAATTAGAGTGTAAACTGCTACAGTATGGTATGGGATTCTGTAGGACAGCGAAATTCAGCCTGTCAGCTCTTTGATGGAGACCAGGAAAACTTGCTGGTACAACTCTCTGTACCATCACCTTGGTCTTTCTCAGAGCTTCCAGTGCTCCTGCCTCCATAGGGGAGACAGACATGGCACTGAAAATACCTTCTTAGACATTGAGGAATGATGTGGGACAGAGCTCCCACTGCTGTAGTACAGTACAACTTTTTGTGTATGGGGGCGATACCCAAGGAAAGAGGAATTTCTGCCTCAGATTGCAGATGTCTGAAAAGTTTCTGTACGTGGTGGGCCTTGCTAGATTATCCTCATCATTCTGGAAGTAGCCACCCTTATGTTCCTGGAAGATACCTTGCTAACTGAATGAAATGGAAGAGGGGAAAATGCCATGTTGCAGCTGTGGGTGTTGTGCAGGCATTGTCATCCAAGTACTGGTGCCTTTTTAGTGCAGATTGTTGATCTCACCGTGGACCTCTGCAAGCCTCCATGTTTGTAGAGGCAGCCTCTGGGTGTACCTCAGTGTTTAATAGGAAACATAAGCTTCTAAGAAGTAAAGAATAAATACTTGAAAATATTGTTGGAATCCACAGAAGGCTGAAGAATCACTGAGCAGCACAGAGCAATAGCTATGGTGTCTCTTTCCATTGCTACAGAAAGAGCAGGCTTGGATAGGAATGGCTTGATATGGTGGATTTTGCCATGGGAGTTGGATTAGGTCGGAGTGTCCAAACTGTGCAGACCAGTTGTTCAGAAGGCATCAGAGGACGACCTTATGAAACGGTTAAATGAAATTCGGATTTGCTTTTTATAGAAATGTGCAAAGAAAACCCCAGTAAAGGCAAGAAAAGGTAAAATGGTGGCAAATAATAGCAATAAATTGAGGTGCCCAATGTTTACCCTAATAATGTGTTTAAATGAAAATAATTATGACAACAGTGGGCTTTCTTCCTTTCCCTTGTTCCTTCCACAAAAAAGTTGTGGATTTTTTTTGATTCAGAGTTGAATGAATATTGACCTAAGTGACATCTCAAGGTCCTTCATATTATCATTTGAAGTTTTTGGTTATGTTTAGGGAACCAATTGCTTTCACACTCCAAAGCAACAGACTTCAGTAATCACATTCTAATAAGCGCTTTTATTACAGTTTCTATTGTTTGAATTTGCTTTCCTTTATGTTTTCTTCCATATTTCTTACCAATAGCAGATTTCTTCAGATCCTATTAATCGGAATAGATTCCATTCTGCTAGGAAAGAGTGGCTGGATTTGTACTTTACTCTATTTTTTTTCCGTAATACTTAAAACAGGGGCCTTTTCCTACCAACAAAAATTGCATAATTTTGGATCCTACCATCATTAATAAAATAAACTTTTTGAATGTACAGCATTTTGTGCACACTTGGAATGCAGAAGTACAATAGCCAAACAAAGATTCTGGGTTTTCTACAGTTCTGTTGAACAAGCACATTGACAATTCAGATAAGAAAAAATCTCTGTTGGAGATTGTAATCTTCCTATAGAAGATCTTAGGCTAGTCGTGGTGGAAGTATTTTTTAATATCCAGCTCTTCAAGGTTTAAACCACATAATAAATTTCGGTGAAAGGTAAAATGTGCTTTTAGGATGAGACATGCTTAAGGGGAAGATGAATGTTTTAATTTTCTCTGTAGGGAAGTGTTAGCACTCTAATAAATGTGTTAGTAGTCGTTATATCCTATATTTAATCCTGTTTCTTACTCTCAGGTTTTTGTGTGTATTTTTCAGGCAGCAGCATCTGTCCAAAGTCCTTAATATTGTCTAGAACTTGTACAGCGAGTGCCACAACCAGACTAGTTGAGCAGAATGTACGCAATGAAGCGGCTCAGGGAATAAATGGAAGTGTGCCAGTCAAACAATCCCCACGTTCAGCTTCAAATCCAAAGCCACAAGGTAAGTAGTCTCAAATATTTTTGTTACAAAAGTTGTTCTTCATCTCAGACTTCTGAGAGAAACAGAGCACCTTGAAAGAACTGTGTTTGTCAGAAGGAAAACCGTAGGGTAAAAGCTTGCTATTGAAATACAAATGTTCTGTAAATGCCTTATGATTCTGTAATTTCTGACTTATTTTTCAAAAGTATTGCTGTATTTGAGGTGGGAGGTTTTGACACTATTTTTGAATTGGAGCTTTTGACAGGTTGGCTTCAAGGCAGGAGTGGTGGGGAGGATATTCAGGACCTCTGGAGTTCTAGCTCTACAGGAGTTTGTGGAAAGATGGGAACTCCATGTTTGTGCAGTAAATTCTGACCAATAACGTATGCAGAGTAGAAGTAAATGTCCCTTCTTAACCTGTTTCTGTCCATAAGTATGTATCTTTTAAAAGCTGCATAGGTCAACCTATGTATATATAAATACTTTATATGTGCATATTTTATATATACATGTATATATAGATATAAAGATAATATATATATTGACTCAAACCACCACAAACTTTTTTTGTGGTCTTCATGGTAATATTGATGATTCTGCTGAAGTTTATTGTAACGGAGTCACTGCATTCAAGAAATCTTGAATTCAAAGCAACTCTGGACTGATGTCTTTTCGAAGTGACATGCAATAGGAACTTTGTTCATCCTAGAAGTTAAAAGAAAAAGAGCGAGTTTAGAAGACTAATATCATGGTGCTGTTCAGTGAATTGGATTCTGAGACACAGTGCTGATACAACAGAAACAAGAATTACTTACAGAAAACTAGATATGGTAGTTTGACCCTGGCTGGATGCCAGGTACCCACCAAAACCGCTCTATCACTCTCCTCTGTAACACTCTTCTCTGTCCCCCTGGACAGGGCAGAGAAAATACAACAAAAGACTCATGAGTTGAGATAAGGGCAGGGAGAGATCACAATCTGATTACCATAATGGGCAAAACAGACTTGACTTGGGGATATTAATTGAATTTATTACCAATCAAAATCAGAGCAGGATAACAGTAAGTAAACCAAGACTTAAAAACACCTTCCCCCCCACCCTTCCCTCATTCTCGGGCTCTGCCTCCTTCGCCCAGCAGTGCAAGGAGACAGGAATAGAGGTTATGGTCAGTTCATCACATGTTGCTTCTGCTGCTACTCAGGAAGAGGAGTCCTTCCCCTGCTCCAGTGTGGGGGTCCCTCCCCCAGGAGACGGTTCTCCTTGAACTTCTCCCTTGTGAGTCCTTCCCATGGGCTACAGTTCTTCACAAACTGCTCCAACGTGGGTCACTTTTCCATGGGGTGCAGTCCTTCAAGAATAGGCTGCTCCAGCATGGGTGCCCCACAGGGCCACAAGTCCTGCCAGCAAAGCTGTTCTAGCAAGGGCTTCTTTCCCCACAGGGCCCCAGGTCCTGCTCCAGCACAGGCTTCCCATGGGGTCACAGCCTTCTTTTGGGCATCCCCAGTGTGGGTCTGCCTCATGGGCTGCAGGGGGATGGCTGCTTCACCATGGTCTGCACCACGGGCTGAGCAGGAATCTCAGTTCCAGTGCCTGGAGCGCCTCCTCCCTCTCCTTCTTCACTAGCCTTGGTGTCTACAGGGTTGTTCCTCTCACATATTCTCACTCCTTTCTTCTCTGAGAGCAATTACATCTGTGCAATAACTTTTCTTTCCTTCTTAAGTATGTTATCACAGACGTGCCACCACCTTCTCAGATTGACTTGGCCTTGGCCAGAGGGTCCGTCCTGGAGCTGGCTGGTATTGGCTCTGTTGGACATGGGGGGAGCTTCTGACAGCTTCTCACAGAAGCCACCTCTGTGGCCCCTGCAGCTACCAAAATCTGGCCATGCAAACCAAATACACTGGAGCCCATCTAAATCACATATAGAAAGTAGAATCACACAGGGTCATTTTGTAGTGGATACAACAATCTGTGTATCACTTAAAGGGAACATGCATCTTGAAGGATTTTGCATCAGTCCTGAGTTCATCTTAGAGTTAAGGGGGGAAGTAATTTTTTGGGGTGTCAAGAAAGTTTTGTTTGCTTCAGGAGAATGAGAGAAAAATAAAGCTGTTATTTTTTGGTATAGTTCATTTTTATAGAACTTTTGCCAGTATTGTTCAGTAAACTAAGATGTTTTTGTCAGTTATATGTAAACATTACTTATCTGAGTAGCCTTTCTGCACCATTTCCTATGTCTCTGAAACAAATTCTCCACAGCAAAGTTACACAAGAGAACACGTGTTCTTCCTAAGAAAAATATTTTAGAAATCTGCTAATGGATAAATAGAAATGGGCAATCAATAAAAAGATTTTAAGCCTTTCAAAAACAAAACCAGCACACTTATTATTAATTCTAGCCATTAGATAAATTAGGAGTTGTATATTATTGGACCCCATTCATTCAAGTAGTTATGCAGCTGTTGTTGCTCTTCCATAGCCATGACTTGTGTGTTTGTCAATACTGTTTGCTCCAAATTGTACCACAGCCAGGAATAGTGCTGTAGTCTAAGAAATGCAGCTGTGTAGATTATATTTAATAATACTGTTTTAAATAGTATTTTGTGTCTACTTTGTTCATGGGCCTATGTCTTGCTCCATTTATTCCTATTAAATATGTGCATCAGATTGAAGTTTTATAGTATATCTTTTTTTTTGCTTTTAATTGAATTCAAGCAAACCAGAATATAATTAATGAGAGAAGTATTTGGGAGTCCAAATGATGAAAGCAGACTAGATTGCTCTAGTTTATTGGTTTAAAAGTGGTCACTATATTTTTTTTAAAGAGCTTTTCATGCACAGGTACAGAAATATTTTTGGTTTATAGCAGTAGGAAATGTTCTTCCAAATTGTTGTTCTAGTCATGCAAATATGAAATGTCCTTTCATAGTGAGAGGAAACAAGATGACAGACCTGAATTGTAATGCCAGTATATTTGATTGTGGATGAACTAACTGCAAAATGACCTTCATTTAACCTACTGGAATGCATATAATTAAAATGAGAGAGAGAAAAAATTACTTTGAGGTTTTGTTGCAAGTAGGGTACAGCTATCTTCAGTAAACTTAGTATTAGAGGAAATAGAGCTTTAATATAGAGGAAAAAGGTCCAAAATCTTGCACTTGAAGTGAACCCTGCTTTGTCTGTACTTGGTCTCTGAGAAGTAGTTTAAATATTTGGAAACAGTTCACTTAGGGTAGCTAGGTCAAGTGAATAAATTTCTGCACAGAATCCAATATAAAATTCTTTCTTTTCATTTTCATTTTTTCCCCTGGCACTTCAATGAGAAAAAAAAAAATAAATCCATCTGATACACTGGCAGTAAAGAACAATTTCGTTCTCCAGTAATTCCTTCCATCAATTTTTGTTCCTTCCATCAACAGTTTAGCAATTCATATGTCAGATTTCTGTCCTGAGTACAGTTTGGTTAGTGAAAATCCTTGCAAATTTGGAACAAAACCTGAAACTGGCTGAAGGCCGATGAGGGAGTTAAGCAAAGAAATCAGGACTGTGGAGCAAAGCAGTCACAGTCTGTACTGGCTGTGGAACCTGATGCTTTGCCTTTGCACCAGTGCATTCTCTGACAGAGTAGACTAATCCAGACTGGAGATAGTCAGAGGAAATAGCAAAATATGCTACCAGGTTCCAAGATTAAGATGAGGCATGAGAGAGGAAGCAAATTGTTAAATAATTTGAAATTTGCCCGTACCTACAAATAGTTGGGCAGTCATCTGAAGCTAGCAGTAGCAGAATGCATGTAGAATGACATGTAAAAATTGACCTTTTTCTTTTTTAAAAAGAAAAAAGTTTCTTCTATTCCTTGCTTTTTGAACCTCTTGCTTGAGTTTTGATGCCCAGTTACTAGATACTGGGCACCGAAGCTGTTGTCTGTACCAGGCAGCTTTATTGTAGGATGCAAAATATATTGAAATGTCAACACTTCTTCAAAGCAGTGAACTGTTTTTTTAGTTCAAGACTGCGCATCAGTTGCTCATTTACATTTTTCTAATGAGAACTTAGCAGTTCTTATGAATCTCCTGCTGTGGCTGAAGAGGTATTTTTGTTTGGGTTGGAGATGAATTTCCACTCCAAAAGACAACCTGGTTTGTGCTACTGTGAAATGATAAGGACACAACACATTCAGCACATAGACTTCAGCAGTCAGTTTTAGCTGACTATCTGCTGTGTAGCATCAGTCCTGTCTTCCTTTCTCAGTTAATTATAATATATTCTGTGGTTTTGAAAATGTTCAGTGGCTTGGGCCTAAAAAAGCTGAGAAAACAAAAGTCTGAAAGGTAGACTGTGCTTCTGTAGCAAACTTGTGCAGTTAACGGTGAATTGAACTAAAGCTGAGAGCTGTTGCTAGGTTCAATGGTGCTTTAAGAAACCTGTTAAAAAGTCTCTTTTATCAGCAAGACTGCCAAATCCCAGATATTATCTCTGGGAAGAAGACAAATGAGAGAACAAAGTACATCTGATTAATACTGGTCATCTTTCTTAATACAGTATTGGAAGATATTTCTTCTGGTGTGATCTAAAAACATAGAAATGTGTACCTCAAAGAGAAGATGGCTTTTTCTCTCTTTCTACTGAGTCTAGGTTACTAGTTATTTCATACTGTTCTTAAGAGTATAAATCTTTGGCATCTATCCAGCTGTGCTCGTTTGATCTTCCTGAAGGTGATGAAGCATGCAAGGAGGTGATGATGGATGACTCAGCCAGGAGAGCTATAGTTGATTGCCCCAGGAACTTTTAAGTGTATTTTCATGGAGTCAAGGCACAGTAGCATTTTTAACCATCATGAGTTAAACACATGGATGGAGATTGAACACATGATGCTTTCCAAGGGAAGAGATAAATGACCTTTTCTAATATGCTTCAGAGTCTGCAAAGGTGGTTGCACCTTTTGAGCCATTTGTAGCATTAACTCCCATTTCCTTATGCATTTGTGCAAAGCTGAATGCACAACTAGGCACTGCAGCATAAATGTTGATTATGGCTAGTGGCATACAGTGCCAGCTACCTGAGTACATGGAGGGGTTTTCTTTGAGCAGAATGGGCAGTTCATGTCTCCTAATGAGCTCAAAATTCTACAGTATGGAGACAAGAGTATTTATAGACTCAAACAGTGCTCTGTATTATGCAGGTTACTACAATGGGCCAGTCTTTTCTTTTTTTTTTTTCTTTCTCTTAAGATCCTTGCTGTATGCACATTGAAAAATAATCTGATTAAAACAAAACACTGCAGAAGTACATTGAGGGGAGAGCTAATGGAATTTATTTTCCATAATCCTGTTAACAAGGCTGACCTTACAGGAAGGTTTGAGGGTTGGGGTTTTTTCACGCTACTGATTCTTTTCTTTCCATTGATCTTGTGACTATTCTTTCTCCATTGCTCTATTTCTAAACCATACAGTAGCTGTAGCAGCAGCTGATTAGGGGAAATGCTCTCTCTTAGATGCTAGTAGGAAGTAAAGCATGAAATATCTTGCATAAATGAGCTGGTATGACCATTTGGTTTGTAGTTCTCTTCTGAAGATATTACAGGGACTTTCAGTATGCAGGGTTTGCCCAGAGGTTCCTCATGCTTGCCCTACGTAAATGCTGCTAAGCTGTGGTTTTTCAGTAATAGCTGCAAAAGTGTGTGACACTTCCACAGAACGTCCTAGAATTTGATTTTTGTCCCCGTGGACCCAGTATAAAAATAACTTCCAACTAATTCCTTCTGCTTTATCAGTAGACATTAATTCCCTATGGTTCAGTAGTTTTAATATATCCTTGTGAGGATATTAACATTTTATGAGATGTACAAAAGAATTGAAGAGATGTACGGGTCCATTACATAAGAGATTTCACAGGAATGGGGGTTGTACAAAGTCCACTGCAAGAGCAAGAAGTGTTCCTACAAACTCATGTGGTGCTGGTCAGCAAATCCACTCGGTGACCCCTTTCCTGTCCATCTCCTCCCTGAGGGAATGGCAGCGCTTACGCTCAATTATGTGTCCTGCTTTTTCCCAGCCTGCTCGTGTCACCTTTTTCTGCTGTCCCCTTGCCTTTGTCAGCACAGCAAGCTATTCAGTGCTTGGACAATTATCTGATGCTCATTGGCCTAATTCTGCCAGACCTTCTCCGAACTCCCTGAGAAGAGGGAATGTAGGGAAAGCTACTCCACTGCACTGCAGCTGCGGCTGAGCAATTGCATGCGGCTTCTCAGGAGGGACTTCGGTTACTACAGATACTGAAGCAGTTACACAATTTAATAGTCTGCTTGTTTCAGGGTTGCATTGTAACTATTTCAAAAGTGATTGAGTCATGTTTCTGTACTGCATTCCCTACAAACTTGCTTTTCTTGCTTGTGGTAATAAATATAAAGCTTCCAAGAACCAAGTATGCACATATGTACAGCAAAAGCATCTGATCTACAGTAATCGTCTTCCTTCTCCCTCTGATTATTTAATTTATCTGCATTTGTAGTTGATATGATTGAAGTCTAAAGCTTTTTGTGGTAAATTCGTTTCTTTATAGAGTCTCTCATGGTACTTTTCAGACTGCAGCAATCACTACAATCCCGCTTAAGTGCAATTAGATTCTTGGAAACACAGACAAATATTACCTCCTATAAATTTAACGTAAGGTAGAGATGGAAAATTGCCCTTAAACTGCAAGAAACACTTGATTATCATAGTCTATGATTAGCATATTTGCAAGAATTTTTTCAACACTCCTTTCAATTGTCAGTTGATGGGAGGTAAGCTTATTCCTGTGGTGCATGGATTTTCCAGGGTAAGTTAGTAAGCTATCCTAAAGCCAGCGATGCGAAGAACATGGATTTTTCACATCCATCTATTGTGTACCCTGTACTGATGCCTTTTATTTTTCTACCATGAGAATGGCACATGATTCCTAATGCCAATTCCTGTCCTCTTTCCCTTCATGGTTGCTCCCTGGCAGGTCTTTGTAGTTGCTGGAGGGCCAGTGCCCGTGGCATGCTGGAATGGGGTGTCTGTGGAGCAGTGACCAAGCCCCCGGGGCCACTGGCTCTATGGCAGGGCATTACCTACTCTTGCCAATTTATGCCTACCTTTTAATAAATCTTTTTTCAATTTCATATCAAATGGTTTCACTTCCATCACAGTATGTTTTGGGAATATGTGTGGGATTGAACAGAGTTGTGGTTTTGGGAATTAAGGACCTTTCCATTAAGTTTCTCTTCTTGATGGAGCTGGATGTGCATTACTCCAATAGTGGAACACATTTGGGCCCAGTTTGTGATGTGCTTTTGCTGCCCACAAATGCTGCATAGTTGCTTAAAGGGATAAAAGTTAATTTAAAGATCTTCGATATGTGTGACTTTAGTTGCTTTATGTGTCACCTTGTCTTTTGTGCTCTAGTCACTGCTTTATTAAACAGTGGCTGATCATTAACAATCTAATTAGAAGGACTTATGGAAAGGATGGGGAAAAAGCAAGAAAAATAAAAAGTATTTTCAGGGGGGAAGGTTTTCAGCAGTATAATTAGACAAAGGTTCAGTGAGTAAAGGAAGTTTAAAGCTGAAGGCAAATACCTTTTCCATTGACAATTATTACTGAGGTCACAAGGGATAAGGTAAAGAATGAGAGCACTGGAATTTTGGGGCAACAATTTAAATCTCTGTCTTGAGCTTCACAGTACAGCTGAGTCCTTTGGGCTCAATTCTTTTTTATTATAAAACCTGCATTTATGGAGGCCACTTATGTATTTACTACAATACACTATAAAAACAAACAAACTAGAAAACTTCCTAGTTTTCTAACTTGTCAAAGTAGCATATGGTTCGCATTTTAGTCAGGAAATGTAATAATATCCCCAATATCACACAGTGTATAAAGGACTATATGAAGTCCCTGTATTCATAAAGCAGCTTTAATGTTAATTAAAGCCATGAGCATCTCTTTTTCATTAGTGCAGTAGGTTCTTATACAAAAGTCTCATATGTGAGAGTAACTTGGTCTCGTAGAAGGTGTCCCTGCCCATGACAGGGGGTTTGGAACTAGATGATCTTTAAGGTCCCTTCCAACCCAAACCATTCTGTGATTCTGTATTCTGTCAGCTCAAAGAAACATGAGTGATTGATTGTTGTTATTGTTGTTTGCAGTGCCTCCAAAGCCAATTCATCTGCAGAAGGCAACGTACCAAACCCCCAGGCATAAAGCTTTAGCAAATCACAAACCAAGGATGGAGGAAGAGGCGCCCACTGCTGTTTCCAGTGTTGCAAGGGAGAAGTCCAGTAAAGTGTCAGATCTCATCCATCGTTTTGAGGGAGGCAGGTATGTAAGAGAATTTCAATTAGCTTGTAACTCTGTTTGTTGTATGTGGATTGTTGGAACTTGAATGTGTGAGGAAGAACACTGGTACCACAGTAGTGCTCACACCCATCCCTGCCAAAGGACTTGGTGGCAAAACTGCACGTTTTGAAATGGTGAGAGCCAATTGTGTATTTGGCCTATACAAGATGTGCTCATTCATGAGGTGCTAGCTTTAATTTTTCTTTAAAAAAAAAAAAGGGAAACAAACAAACTTTTAGCATTTTTAAAGTGTCCCAAAAAATGGTAGGGATTTGAAATAAGTGCTAGGTTTAGAATAAAACATTGCAGCTAATATTAAATTCTTCTGGTTTTGCAGAAAATAAATCTTTTATAAGCAAATAGAAAAACCTGAAATCCTGATTTTCATTTTACACTGTTTTAACCTCTTAGATCATTCATGTGAAGAGGGTGATGTCTACGAGTTATTTGTATTGATATGACATACATTCTCTGAATGGTTTCCTTTGTAGTACTTGGTGATTTTGGAATAGCTCAGTGTTCTGGAGTTTTGATACTGCATTTTACAGAAAACATTTGGAACTGTGGGAAACATAAACCACAGTGAATAATGCTTTCACAAAATAGTGTTACTTGTGTGTCTTTAATTAGATGTACATGATGCATCTTTAGTAAGATGTATTATAAGCTCCAAAACAGAAGGTTTGAAAGGAATCTGCTCTGTATAAAGAGAGTGACTTTCCAGAAAGCCCATGACAGAGGAACAGCTCAAGGAGCAGTCCAGTACCAGTTGAGTACTGCAAGTTTTGGATGTGGTTTTCTCATTTTTCCTTGGGATACTGGTGTTCTGAAGGAATGCCCCCTGTGAGAATGAATGCATGATGTATGATAGAACATAAGCTTCTGAGGAGCCAGACTATTAAGACTTCCACTGAAAGAATTTCCACTCAAGATGGGTGAAATTTAATCCTTTATATGGAAGCAGCTGAGCATTGTAAAAGTATCTTTGTCCATTGGAATAGAAATCATTTCAGAGCTTCATCTGCAAGAAACTTCTGTCATTAGGCAAAGACTTAATTGCACTTGATCATGGTAGGAGCTTAGAGATTGGAAAAAGAGACTACTATAGCACTGGAAGTCCTGTGAATTCTTACAGCACAAGTCTCCAGTCCTGTTACCACTTTGTTTCCTAGTCTTCCTCCTAAGTTTTTTAAATAGTGCAGTATTCTTAGAAAAACAATTTTATCCTTTCTGAAAGGAAACTCCTCAGGTACATTGTGTCCTACACCACTGAGCCCTACATTCCTTCCTGCTAGACATGCCTGCTGTATTGTAAAGCAACTTTTTCAATATTATGCAATAAAAGGAAACTATAAAGAAAGCAAGGAAAACTTTCTTGTCCATAGACCTTTAAAAGTAGGGACATTTTGAGAACTATGGGAAGTTGAGTTGCTTTTGGGCAACATCGTTCATTAGGCACACCCAGTAATATCTGTCTAATGACTAAATTCTCCTCAAGAATATGATCTCTGCTTATGAGAAACTTCCATAATTAGAATGCTGAGTTCTGGAATATCCTGCTTTGACAGTGGAGGCAATCCCTGTTTTTCGAATGAGCTCAACTCACAAAATGTATCTTCTGTGAAGTTGGAACTTCAGTTTTAATTAGTGGTCTTGAAATGGCTAGGTAGCATATTCATGAACTACAAACTGTGATTGTCAGTTATGATAACTTATTTTCATTAGTCTGTACAGACCACAAACATGTAGGCATGGCAGAAAGCTAATTAAACCTTTTTGCTCTGTGAAGACAATGGAAAAATGTGAATTAATTTTGTCCTGCAATTAAGCTTATTGGATTAAAAAAAGCATAATCTTTACACAACTAAAGAAAAACTGATTTAATTTTTTTGTTATATGATGGAAAAAGGTAAAGCTAATGTAAGTTATTTTGTGAGCTCTGTATGTCAAAATGCAGAATGTGTTTGCAATATTTGTGTAAACTGTGCTAAAAATAAGGAGTAAACATACAGTTTGTAAGCAGTTATCATCTCTCCAGAAGATGGAGATCCATACTAGGAACAATGTGTTAGAGGACAGTTATGATACTTTATAGCAAGTTGAATGTGGCTTGTTAAATGTACTTCAGGTTCCAATGACTTTTTTTCCCTGAATTATAATGAATCCAAATGCTTTTACAGAGCAGAGTATCATTTATATTGGCCTAAAAGTCAAAGGGAGAGTGAAAGGTATGAACAAAGGATAATGTGTTTAAAGCAGAGATAAAGTATGGAGGAAAAAGACTTTAGGAAAAGATGCAGCATGATGGAAGGACACTGCTAAATAAGGAAGCAGAGGAAGAAATGGAATAAAAATTTAAAGCTCCTCCTGTAATCTGCTGAACTAAGGAAAGGGATGCTTAAATGTTCTTGGACACATTTAATTCATTTTTTATAATTAAAGAGCAATTAGGGAATAGGCTATTTGTTACTTTAAGCAGTGGACTGGGACTTGGGACACCACGGGTCTTGCTCCATTTCCACCAGTAATTTCTGGAACACTTTGGACCAGTTGCTTCATCCATCGGTTTCTTGATTACCTTGTCTGTTACGTGGAGCTAATAATAGAATCAGGTTGCAAAAGATCATAGAATCCAACTGTTAACCCAGCACTGCCAAGCCCACCACTAAACCACATCCTTGAGTGCCACATTTACATGTTTTTTAAATACCTCCAGGGATGGTGACTCAAAGTCTTCCCTGGGCAGCCTGTTCCAATGCCTGACAACATTTTCAATGGAGAAATTTCTCCTAATTTCCAATCTAAATCTCCCCTACAAATGAGATTCAAGACACATGAGGATGCAATGGATGGGTATGAATGGCACTCTGGGTTTCTAGTAAGAGATGCATGTTTGTGTGTTGTTCAGTGCATTCCAGGTCTCAGTGGCCTGAACTTCCTAATATTAACACAGGAAAAAAAAAAAGGTTTGGGAGGAATTGGTTATATGGTGCAACTCTCCTACTTACCATACCAGGATGTTTTATAAGTCCACGTTTAACTCTTCTCTCATCGAAGCTTTTTTTTGTTCGGTGTTTTCAGCTCGTTGAATCCTAGTGATTTGAAGAAAGATTCCTCTGTTCTCCACCTTACTAAATCTCAAGGAAGATATGGGTCAACACCATCACCTCAGCCCAAACTCCCCTCCCAGCACTCACTACAAAAACAGGGAAACAATAATACTGACAAAACTCAGGTTGCACAGCTACACACAGCCAACGGAGTAGTAGCACAAGACCAGCCGGAGGATGAGGACAGGAGATTATCAGATCGTGGCTCTGCTGTGTCCACTCCAGTTCCAGATGATGTCATTGACAGCAGCTTGATAAATGGGGAAGGAGAAAGTACTTGCAGGGAGTCATTGCAAAGTGTGACTACCTGTGAAGAACAGATGCTTAACAGCTGCTACAGAACTCCAAGTAGTGATACACTGCTCCCATCTGAAAATGAAACTCCAGAAATTAATACTAATGTGAAGGAAGAACCAACTGAGGAAATCGGTAAACAAGATCAACCTGTAGAAACAAAGGTAAAAAGAGAAATTGTTTCATTCCTAATATATCATTACTTTGTGTATTTTCTCTTGGTTTTTATTTACAAAACCAGGCTTTCAAGAGCAGGTCAGACAGTTGAAACTCTTTTGCTTATTTTTCCTCTGAAAAAAAAGATGGGAAAAAAAGTTTTGCTGGCCTCTTCCCACCTCCTGCCCTCCTTTGCTCTTTCCCTGTTAGCTATCTAAAGTTTAAAAAACAAGTGAAACTGAAATATGTGGACATGTTTGACCCTATGCTTCAGCTGTGCCAGACTATGAGGGACACATGTTAGCGGTGTATATAAAATAAAATTTCATATGTAGTAAACTGCAATGACAGAGCTTCAGGCAGGACTGTTGTGTGAATCCATGATTTGGATGTAGTTGACAAATCAAAGCTTGAAAGGCAGTGGCAGTCTGCTAGCTATCAGCTAGATGCAATGTTCAGAGTATACTAAATATATAGCAAGGAGAACTTATATCTGATGAATTTGAACTTCCTTGTAAGGAAGGTTTTAAATACTTTAGAGCAGTAAGTGGGTGGAAGAAAACCTGTCTTGGGAAATTAATTGCTGAAAAACTGTGCATATTTCCACTTATAAAAGTTTGCTTATGCAGTTTTCCTTCTTGTACTGAAGCAGTGAATGTGATTAACAGCTCTGGTCCAGCTGTGCCCTGTGTGACTCATGGGAGGGGGAGCTTGGCAGACCCTCCTGGTCTTCCTCTTCATCACAGAGCCAAACAGCTGAGTGCTGATAAAGCTCCTCACTGCTGTCAGGAGTACACCTGCATCAGTTAACTACAGACCTCTCCAAGCCCTTGAGTTTGGTTAGCTAAGGGTCACATACATACATGCTTGAAGGCAAATTCTGCGAGTGGGAAAGGTGGGTCTCGAATTCTCATGCATTTTAGGATGAAATATCCTTGGCAATGACAAGAAGGTGCTGGGTTGTGTGGGTTTTCTTGTTTGTTTTAGAGGTTGGTTTTTTCCTGTAATGAATGAATGCTATGATTCCCATCTAAGCATAAGCCTGGTCACGGTCCAAGGCACCTTTAGCCTGCCACACCTCTTATTATGTTTCTGTCTCCTGTTCAGTAGTGCCTGTTTCCCCTCTCTGTGCCCATGGAGTGCTGAATTCTCAGTGGGCAACACTGTTAAGCTTGAATCCAAGTCATGCGGTGAGGTGCTGGCAGCATTTTCAGGAAAAAGCTGAAATGAGAAGCAGTTCTGTTGTAAAGTTAAGGAAGGAAGTGGGCAAATGCTAATGGCAGAAATCTCATTAAAATCTGTCTTTGAGCTGCTGGAACCAACACGTGATCTGTCTTATATTGACAAAGTCAACTTGTGAGGTGTAATGTGACTGCTACTAGATGTATTGTTCACTGGTGCTTGAAGGATAAAAAACCAGAACAAGCCAAACCCATGCAGGATGACTTTTGAGTCTGCGTTGGTGTAGAACTGAATCTATATAATTGAGCAGGGCCACAACAGCACTTCCTGAAATGCCAGCTTACTTCTGCAACAAGGACATCCCCTTTAGTCTAGTGAGGTTAAGAAGCCTGTCTGCCACAGAATGATCTAAGGGCCACCCTCTCCAGAATCAAACACTGATTTAGTTTGGATTAATGCAGCCTATAGATGGAAATCAGCCCCGTGGTGGTCTAAGTAGCTGCTGCCATGCTGTCTGGACTAGGGAAAGGGTGATGAGCAACAGACTTCTGGTGGAGCTTTAAGCTATTTCTGCATCCAAACAGGCATTGGTAAGAAGTAAGAGCATTAGACAACCTGTGATTTTGCTAAGAGCCCACTTAGTCATTATAGAATATTAAAACTGGGATGCAGTCCAGTTGAAGTTGCACTGCACAGGCTAACAGCAGTCTTCTGCCTTTTTTAATTAAGAAAGTGTAGGTCCAATTGAGTAAAAGCAAAAGGAGCAGATGCACGTGAGTCATAGTCAAACTTTAAATTATGCATCTGATATATGTATTTTGGTACTGATGCAAAGTATCTTGTCTCTTGAATGCCATATTTCTTAATTCAGGGAAGACAAGAGAGTGGTGCTCTCTCTTTGTAAATATGTATGTGTACAGCAGAAGTGATCTGAAGTCCACTGCTAGAAGGGGTGAATCAAATCGGGAAATGGTGCAAAACCAGAGCAGAGATTACTTTTTGGACTTGGAAAAGAAGACTTATTTTGAAATAGTGTTGTTCTTACAATTGTTTTTCTCCCTCTTATCACTGTAGATCTGACTGAAGACAGATCTTTAGAAAAGTTGAGCAAGACTTAGTAAAGTTGACAGTGATCTGAAATGTCTTCCCCAAAAGACCAGAGTAGAATATGCTTTATTTCTCTTATTTGCTGAATTAGCTTGAAAGTAATGAAACAGAAGTATAACAAGCAGAAAGACAATTAAAAGTGAAAAGTTTCCTGCCTTGCAGCAGAAACACCTCCTGTCATAAACTTTGATTTGTCTAAACTGCAGAGGCTGAATAGTACAAGAACATTCCAGTCAATTAACTTCCTTGAATAACAACATGTGGGAAATCTGCTGCCAGTGCTAAGTGAAGACAAGAGGACAAATGTTTCAGTGTTTCTTGTGAGACTGGTAGGAAATAGGCATATAGACTGCCTGCATGCCACAGATGGAAAAGAATCCACTGTGCATCCTTAACAAAGTCCTCATATGATGTCTTCTTTTAATGACAGTGCTGGGGGCTCTGATGTTTCGGATGCAAAACCTGGTGGAGATCCTGTATTTCTAAATGCAAGGCAAAGTTTTGATTTAAATAGGGTGAAATTTTTCTTGCAAAGTTAACTTTCTGCCAAGAAATGTTTTACTGTTGAAACACCTGAGAGGTTCTACCAACTTCTTGATTCTACAATTTTTTTGGTCTTTAGCAACAGTGATTTGGACAAAGCTCCTTAGCTCCAATGCCCAATATAAATGCATAAATCATCTTGTGAATAGATGCTTCTTTGGGGATATCAGGATCTTTACTGCATTGTTGGTTGCTATGCGAGAAGCAAGCAAGAAACAAGCACAATGTAAATTAAATTATATTTGTTCATACTTTACATCTCTCACCCTGTCTGTGTTGCTTAATATAGTCCATCAAAGCCCTTGGGGCAAGGTCTGTGCCTGAATAAGAGTGAATCATATACAGCATCACTGTCATGCTGGCAGGTATAGTTTTCTTGACAGAAGATGGCTCCTCTTTGGTTTGGATGTTAAGTTATGGCTGTATTGGAATTTAGGCTTACATAAAAGCTGCTTTAAATCAGCAACATTTTTTTTCAAGTTCAGGACAATTGAAAAACAATATTAGGAAATGAGAACAAAAAGTTCATACTTTCAGCAGCACTTTTCATACCTCTTCTTTATTTCAGAGTTAAAAATTACTTGATTTAATTTCTGAAGCATCCACAGTAATGTAGTGATTCTGATGTGCAGCTTTGCACTAAAGAATATCTAACTAGACCCAGCTGAAATATTTACTGTAAGCGTCTGTATAGAGGTGCAAGTTTGCAGTTCCTCCTCATGCACCTGTTGCTATTTTATGCTTCTCATATCAGCAGTTGAAATCATGTACCTCTGTACAGCACACTAACCATTTCTGCTTGGTTTTATATGTGGAGTTGCCATGTGTTACAGATTGTCACAAAAGTTTGAAATCTTCCCTGAAATAATTGAGAAGTTGCCTTCCCACCCCCCACCCTGAGAACTTCTTAAAAGAAAAGTAGTACGGTTTTGTGGTATTTTTGCACTGATCTAACCCTGTAGGTGGGTGTTTTTGTTCTGGAATAAGAACATGCCACTGTGATTAAAAGATAACTCATCCATGGCGTGCAGTTTTCTCCGCACAGAAGATCCCTATACCAGGTAGTGCAATTGTAGAAAGGAGGCTGAGATTCAAGAGTTAGAAAGACGTGTAAGGTTGATACTGAGAGGATTGGAAAGCTGGGGTCAGCTCATTTTATGTGGTATTTTTGTGTCTGTTATGCATGATTTTCCCTCTTTTAGTTAGCTCAAGTTCTTCTGAAAACTCTGGATTGGTTCTGTAGCAGTGCTTAGGGAGACAGTGGGGTTCTAGGGTGAGAAAAAGGAAATTAAATTGCTGAGGAACCAGTAGCCTCCGTGGTTTTGTGCCTCAAGTCTGCATGTGAAATCCTTAGTAAAGGGCTGCACTAAACAGCAAGCTGCAGCTGTAATAGCTAATCCTCCAGCTCCCTGCAACGTCTCTTGACAGCACTTAAAATGCTGTTCTGTAGGTTACTGTGGTTGCTATGCTGATTTAAACAGATTTAATGAACAGCTTTGAAGTCACTATCAAAAGCCTGTATTTAGGAAGGAGGTTTGCCATGCAGCAGCATGACCATTAACACTACAGATTAGAACTGAACTGTGTTGAAATTTGGAATATTTATAGAATACTGAAAAGAGGAAAATAGCCACTGGAGTCCCTGAAATGTAAGATTGTACCTTATTATTCAGTATTCCACAAACTGTCTTTATCAATGTACTTGCAAATGTTTATCACACTCTTGTGGAAAGCAGTGTGCAGTTTGAAATCAGAAATCACTCTTTCAAGCTCTCCTCTTTAATTTTCTTATGAAGACTTTCTATGGTTTGCCTAGAAATCACCACTTTCCCAAAAGCACTTTGATAAGTCTGCCATTTACTTAGGAAAAACTTGGGCATCATTAAATGTGAACAGACTAGCACGAGATCTGGAGAAAGAATATTGTAGTGGAAGTGTCATTTTGTTGAATCTGACACTTGCAGGCTTGAGGCATTTCCCTAATGCTTTAATATTGTAGAAGCCTGTGCTTTCACTGTTTGTTTTGAAGTAATTTTGCCTAGCAACTTATAATTATACATTCTAACATATTTAGTTTAATATCGAAATTTGAATGAATGTTTTAAGTTTCTGTTCAGCAAAAGAATCAGAAATATATTTTGTAAAACCATAGAATCATAGAATAAAAGGCTTTAAAATGAAGACTTCCCTTAAGATGCTAAAATGGCTTCTGTAAAGACTTAATGAAGGAGCCCTCTAATTACAGTCAACACTTATTCAGCAATGAGTGTATTGATGAACATAAAACATTCTGTATGGTATTTTTCAATAATTCTCTGCAAAGAACATACAGTTCAAACAACTTTTGAAATGGAGGTGGGGGCGAACACTGAGTACTCCCATCTGTTCCCTCTCACTCTGCAAATCAGTTCTTCCAGCTCTGAAAGGTCAGTGGTACTCGATTACCAGGATATGAGCTGATCTGTTAAGTAGGGAGTTGGTGCTTTGGCAAAGATCCCTATACAAACTGGGAAATACTAAATCTTTTAGGCTTTGAATTTTGCTCCATGATTTTTGTCATTCTCTTACGTTTGTATTGGTTGACTAAACTGCTGGAAAGTTTGTGTTTTTCAAAATTGGTGTCCTCTTCAAAACTAAATGTGAAACTTGTATTTCAGTTGCTTTTTGAACCGTGAGGTAATCATAAGTCTTTTCAATTTTCTTTTAGTACTAAATTATGTTTTCCTTAAGTCCCTAAGAGCTGCTCTTATTTTCTTGCAGGAGACAGATGAACAGAAACGCCACAAAATTGCCAGTGAACTTCTGCAAACAGAAAAAGCCTACGTTAGCCGACTTGACCTCCTAGATGGGGTACATTTTTCTTGAATTTGCTTTTATTGTGTTGCCTTGAATTCACTCAAATGCCTATACATAACTGTGGATATAAATTACGTAAGATGTGGTATGTTTTTCACATTTTGCTGATTTTCCAGTCAGTTATTTGCTCTTGCCATGTGACTTTGCCTGTGCTTCTATTTTAAGAACACTACATTTTTAAAAAGTATTAAAATTTTCTGGATATTAATGCAAAATGTTCTCTGTGTGTAGATGTCACTGTAAGCAATAGTATTACATGCTGATAGCCCTTCCAAAAAGAGGATGGATAACCATGTCTTGGTTTATTATGATTTGGAGGAGTATAATTTTATAATGCTGAAATCACCCACTCACTGGAAAATTACTAAATCCTTCTAATTTGAACCACCCTATCAGAATTTTTCTTTAGTGCTAAAGAACGTAAGTTAATCATTCCAAATGGTACTTGCTCTCTTTTTCTACTATATGTTTTGAGTAAGTCATACTGAATGAACAGAAATTCCTCCCCCTGCAAGGAAAGGGTTGGACTCTTATGCTTTGTAGAGTCTAACTGATCTTTCTTAAATGCTAAAGTCTGTAGTTCTTGAGTATTTTTCTTTCTAAGTCTTGTTTACTTGCTCGCGTAAACAAAACACATATGCATTTTACCTGGATACCTCTAGCTTTGCACTGTCTTACTCCATGATATTTTTCATAGAAACCACTGCTTAAATTTTTCAAGTCCAGTGCATAAGCCTTGTACAAGCAGTCGATGAAAAGCAAAAAGCCTCAACTTGTACAATAATTGTTCAGGCTGCTTAGGGATCTAAGTAATTGTCCCCATGAAAGTGGATTTACATAGCAGATCCACATTGTGATGGATATATGGTGACTTTTAAAAGCCAAAGTATTGCAGAAAAAAAAAATATCTTTGATTTAGAGAAGTCTAAAAATAAAACAGAATAGTGTTTACTTTGTTCACAGATTTTTCTGATGGGTAATGTACAGTTATTTCCCTTGATGCTTTCATAAGTGCATTACTCCTATGCCTGCTTTCCAAATATTAACTGGATGGAGTTCTGAAAAATGAGTTTCAAACACAGCTGCTCAACTGTTGCTAATGAGAGGAAAGCAGAAGACTGGGAAGGGACTGTTAAATTTCTAAACTTGGTTAGAAAGTTGTGTAATCTTTATGGTCTTCAAAGTAGCTTGTCAAAATTTAACTACCTGTCCTCTCAGAGATGCAGCAAATTGAGAATATTTTAAAGTATGTGTGGAAGTACATGGCTTTTTCCTTTTAAGACACTTCTGCTGTCTCAGTTTGTGTGATCAAAATTCCTGTCTTCAGAGTCTTTTGCAAGTCCTTACCCAAACTTCTGAAGCCCTTTCTAGGGAGATGCAGTCTGTTCAAGCATGGGAGGAGGAGATAGAGGGACATTAAACTCCCCATAACTATTTTTTTTTGATGTGTATATTAACAGATGTACAAGTCTCTAGCCATTTTGTAGCTTTGTCTAGTCAGGCAGAGCTCACTGATGGGGAAAGAATATATGGGTTTTCTTAAAGAAACATAGCAGACTATATAGAACTGGGCTCCTTCTAATATAATACTCTAAATAGTATGAGGGTACCACTCATAGTCAGCCAGCTACTTTGATTTCAAAAGGATAAGGGGATAGAGCATACAACAACAGTGATCAAACATCATGATCAGACAGCATGCTGATTGAAAAGAAAGGAAGAGTGGAAAATCTGACTGGAAGACTGGGAAAGCTGAGATGATCTAGCTGTTAAAACAGACAGGATGTCTGGAGTTGATCCAAAATGGTACTACTTCAGTTTGGCTTCCCTTATGTCTGCTCTGCCTGCAGTGCTCTCCTGGCTTAGGAGAAAGAAAGTGGTGTGTAAGGGGAGGAGAAGCTTTTCCCTTCTGGTGAAGGAAAGACTATAAATGAGTTCATCATTACCTGTCTATTACTGAAATATTAATGTTGCCTCAGTTGTAGCAGGAGGGGTGGATAGGTGGTCTTCCATTGATTAAATATAATAGGTTCTTTTTCTGTTTTGCAGGTATTCTATTCCAGACTCCTTGAGGAAGCTAACAGAGGTTCGTTTCCACCTGAAGTGATTAATAAAATATTTTCTAATATTTCATCAATAAATGCCTTCCACAGTAAATTCTTACTTCCAGAACTTGAAAAAAGAATGCAAGAATGGTAAGAGGCAATTCACTGGTTAAATATGCAACTAAAACCGTGTCTGTAGAAACTCTATTGCAGGGTTGAGGTAGGGAAGGTACCTTCATAATTAAGTGCTCCAGGCCCAGGAAGTGCTGTGGGTAGGAGAACAGCTGCTCTTCCACTCTTCATCAGGATCTGACTCAGCAGAGGACTTGAATCATTTGCTCAAAATAAAGGACATGTATCTCACTGAAGCCAGTGAGATTACTCATGATCAAATGCCTTGCTAAATTAGGGGTTCAGACTAAAATTGTTTGCTACCTGGTGAATTCATTGTACAGAATACAAAGTTGAGATAAATAACACATGTGGTTTTTGCTAACATTGAAGCACAGTAACCTTTGTCATTACTGCTTTCTGTGATAAGATGGGATACATTTAAAAAGAAATTACAAATATTGTTTCATCCAGTTGTTTTGCCTTAGCAGCTCTTTGGCTCCTTTTCCATCTTACTTAGAATTTATTATGAGGGATTCAAGTGTTTGTCCATATATAATTTCTAGTTACACTTTCATATAACTTCTTTATTGTCAAAAAACTCACACTAAAAATGTTTTTGTCACATATATGAAAATCTCAGACCATACAGTGGTGCTTTAGACAGCAACTGTATGCGTTCTGACTCTCTAAGATGATCCTCCTTTAAAATGTTGATTCTTTAAAATAGAATAGTTACCATGCACAAACACATGGTAGCTCTGTATAGTCTATAATGCAAGAAAGTAACTAAAATACAGTCATTGTGAAATATAGGAAAGCTTACAGCTTATGTTGCAGATTGACTATGTGAGGTAAGCCAAACCTTTACTTTTAATCAATTGAAAAAATCTGATAGGAAATACAAATGCCTGGATTTTAACAGAGTGCATGTTCATGAGCACTGGAGTTTAGTTGTTTGAAAAACAGCTTACACTACATTATGCCAGTGCTGTATATATTTAAAATTAATTTCATGATGCAGTCTTCAAATTCTGCTGTAGACACTTTATGGAGCACAGAAGATGGGTTACACTACTTTACATATTTGCAAAATGCGACATTGGTCACTAATATTATGTGTATAATCATATCACTTCAAAGGGTGAAAAATGCTTTTGCAGATAAGCTTTGACTATTGGTGCAAAGCTAATAAATCTCATCACAAGGATATTATCTTTTCCACATTGCTTGAAAACAACCTCTGTGCTGTACCTGAGATGCCTGTTTAAATGTCCTTGAAACATGCTTTTGGGAGGCATTAGAAAAAAGGGTGCAGTTGAAGAGAACTCTTTCTGATCATTGCTGAAAGAAAAATCTGGGATAACTTTCTCTCCCCATCACCGGTCTGAAATTGTCTGGCACAAAAGCTTCTGCCAAATACAGAGTCTTTTCTTGGCAGTTCCTCTCGTTAGACAGAGAAAATTAAGTAAGTTCTATGGGTAGGTTTATGCGCTTCTATTATTCTTTAGCTTCCGACAAAAATAACTGGATAAAAATTTCTGACACTTCCCTTGAGTTGTGGTTTGTTTTGAAAACTTACAGTAAAAATATGTAGGTTTGCAACTGGGAAAGCAGATCAGAAGCAGATTCTTCCTTGGAAGAAAAGGCAGTGTGAATCTAAGCTTATCGGGTAAAAATGGAATTCTCTGGTAGTTGCATTTTGAACTAGTTGAGCAACAGCTGGAGCTGAATCTCTTTTACAACATATGCCTTGAAAACACTGGAAACAGCAATATATTATCCATGAAAAGAGTATAACAGAGCATAACAGTGATCCCACATCATAGAATCATAGAATGGTTTGGTTTGGAACCAACCTTAAACATCATCTACTTCCAACCCTACTGCTGAGGGCAGAGGTACCTTTCACTAGACTATCAAACAAAATAACTGGATAAAATACCTTGTGTCTTTTGTACCCAAGGATGACCAAAACCAGATACTTGGGAAGAATATAAGGACACAGCACAATAGCCTCTTGGGGTAATGGTGGTGGTGAAGAAATTATTTCACTCTTTCAACACAAAGTTTTGGAATCTGTGTCAATTAGACACCACCTACTCATATGATTTGTTTTGCTTTTGAAACTGCAACTTGCAGTTTTGTTGGATGTCTGTTAATTTGTGTGTTGGAAGATGAAGCAGTTGTTCTGTAGGCACCTTTGCTGTGGTGTGATTTTAGAGAGTTTTCCTTAGTTTTCTTGCAGCCAGTTTGAAATTAGATGCTACAAACCTTGATTAGTAAGGTCTGTGTTTTTTGGTGGTTTTTCTTTTTCTTTTGACCTTTGGAAATAAATTCACATTTCCTTCAGTTCTGTTGGAATTGGCATGATTTGTATTTTATTTTCAGTTAAAAGTTACGTTGCTACGTTGCCATAAATGGACAACCCAGAGAAATGGTTCAGTGAATCAAAGGAATATCAAAGGAAGGTTGTTTTAAATTGCTACCTTGCCTTTGAATGTGTATCTGTGTGCTTGCATGTGGAGTGGTTGAACAAATGTGTGAAGCTAAGTGAGGGTGGAGAGCCTTGGTGACTTCAGAGACCAACTTCCCAGCCTGTCTTGTCCCCTAATTGCCAGGCCCAGCAGAAGGACAGACCTCTGCCAGGTGTTGCATAGGTACTTTCTGCCCTCTCAGAGGCAGCTGGAGCTGGGCCAGTTTTTGACAGTCCTGCAATATCCACTATTCAAGTAACTTTTCTCTTCTGCACACTTTTTTTCTTGGAGAAGTGGTGTGTTGGAGTAGACTGTAGAAATAATGTAGATTGTTTCACTTTGGACCACAATAACAACGTTCAGAAATCCAGAGATACTGAGTTTCTGAGTCTGTCCTTGAAAATGAGACATGAAATGTGCTTCCTATTTTAGTCCTCGGAGATGCATGTGTGCTGCTCCACATTCTTTGTGTGCACTGAAAGTGCAGCTTCTCTCAGCTTCTCCATCAGTTGCTTTACTATTCTGTTTTATTTGCAGATGCCATCATGAATTGGGAAAAATGTGGGAAAATTCTCACAGAAGACTGGAATCCAAGGGGTTCTCTCTACTTCATATGTTATCTTAGAGAAATAATACTTTTTTAAAATTGTAAATATATATGTTTATATAAGGCACAGAAGGGAAGCTGTACAGCATGGATTTAGTCCTCAAACAAAACCACAGGCTAGATATTTTAGAGCTTAAAATCAAAAAAAGATAATGTACTTTTAAGAAACGGCAAATAAAATAAATTAGGCTATGTTTTATAAACATAAGTTTTTCATTATATCTAGCTTTTGTTTCTTTAGTGCTCTACATGACCTATAATGCTTATACATCATCAAAGATGATACAAACAGTCTTTCTATGTTAATTCAGGTCAGTTTTAATGGTTACTTTGGAACTCCACGTGAGGTGATCCCAAACAGAAGGATTCTCTATTAAAGGCTTGAAACTTTTTATAACCTCGTGTGACTTTTTTTCTTTCCTGTTTGCTCTGAGATTCCACCCTCTTACTTTGCAGGACTACCACCCCTAGAATTGGAGATATTCTGCAAAAGTTAGCTCCTTTCCTCAAGATGTATGGAGAGTATGTGAAGAATTTTGATAATGCAATGGAATTGGTGAAAACGTGGACTGAACGGTCACCTCAATTCAAATTCATTATTCAAGACATTCAGGTAATGGGAAGAATAATGTAAATCTCCAAGTGATACAAGCATTTATAAAAATATATAGGTTTGTGGATGTAAAAAGGATTAAAGGGAAAATTAAATACCAAATCCCCTAGAATTAAGGGTTGTTGTTTTTGTCAACTTCGCACTGCCTTCTGTTTCTTCTCCTTCTTCCTTCATGTGTGCACAATCCACCCACAAAAATCCAGACTTTTCTCCTGGAAAATAGAGGAGCAAAGTATAAAGGTTGTAGTGTGTGAAGACTAAAAAATGCTGCATTTTGTTGTAGATACCAAAAGTAAATAATGTTTCAGGATAAAGTGACCTATCAGTGCAACTGTAGATCCTTGCTCTGAATCCATGATATTGTGTTGGCTCACACTAATGCTGAACCAGAAAAGGTTAAGAAAGCTTGAGAGTCCAGCAATGCATCGACCTTGTCAGAGGTTCGTTTCATACCCTCTAGTGCTCCCTGTGGGTGTCTCTGTGAATTGGCAGGTATGTGTTCTACTGCAGACTGAGCAGTTAGAAATAGGATAAAGCATACCTACTTAAATTTTACTGCTCTGTGGGGTCTTGTGATTGTAAGCCAGGGAAGAAAACTATGTGTATTTTAATATGATCTTTTTTTCCCTAATCTAATTATATCTAAGATTATGGAAATGAATATACATCTTAAAGCACTGCTGAGGGAGTTTGCACTATAAATGAAACTCAAAGAAAGCATTCCCTCCTCAGACAGGTAAAATATAACTTTGTAGCCCATTTAAGCGATTGTTTCTAATATTTGGCCATGAACTCTTCTTATTAATTCAGAAGTAATTCTCTTGTTTGTGTTATTACAAACCTCATTTAAAATACACTGGAGTTTAGGAGATTTTTTTTTTAGTAAGACTTTTATTTATGGATTGTATACTTACTGCTGGATACTTAGAGAAGTTTTGCAATTTATTTTTAGGAAAGACTTTCTAATTATTTGGTTTGATAAAGTAGTTCTATTTTCTTTCAGTAGGTCTGTCACGCATATTTCAAAATACATTATGTTTCATCAATCATAACTTCTATTTTACTATATCGTAATAACATTTTTTGCCTGCTACATTGAAATATGTTTACAATTTTTTAGAAGGAAAAAGTGTGTGGAAATTTGACATTGCAACATCACATGCTAGAACCAGTACAACGCATTCCACGCTACGAGATGCTTCTAAAGGACTACCTAAGGAAATTGCCTCAGGATTCTCTAGACTGGAAAGATGCTGAAAGTAAATATCTTCAGGCCATTAAAAGAGCTGTAACAAGATATTAGTAAGAGGATACTGTAAATTAAAGATGTCTTCCTTCAGGAAAGTGAAGAAGTAACTGTGAAAAGAATAATAGAATTTCTTCAGGGGATTCTTTGAAAATCTTCATAGGATTCTTTGAAAAAAGTCTGTCTGAACTGAAGTAATTGTAAAAACCATAAGGCCTTTAGTATTCTCCTGGAGCACAGAAGTTTTGCCTTAGTTTTGGAATAACACACAGGTTTTGATTTGTCTGCTTTGCAGATGATCAGGGCTTGTGGTGGCTTTTTTTTTGTTTGGTTTTTTTTGTTTGTTTTGTTTTGTTTTGTTGGCATTTTGATCTGCTTTATGCACATTTGTAATGTATAACTGTTATTTGTAAAAAAGTGAAGTTAGCCTCACTGTATTTTTAAGCTTCTTCAGGGAAGAAGAACAGTCCAGTTTTAAATTTCTAGAACAGCTCAAGATATTTCCATGAGTTGTTCAAAATCACTTGCCAGATATTGTTTTGCTATATTTCATTGTTAGTACCATTACAGTAAACACTTGTAAAATGAGCTGTTTCAATGAAAAAGACAGTTTGACATTCTGAACTGCTTTGAGAAAAGAAGGGAGAGACCATGACTGTTCTTGTCACAAAAAATGTGACTAAGTGCTGAAGCACTAAAGTTTCTCTTCTGGTCTTTACAGATTATAATATCTATTTGGTAGTTTACTTTATTATGCTGTCCACTTTACCTTGTTTTCTTTTCATGGAAAACTAAAGAAATTTATTGTACTTTATGTAATTTACATAAAAATGACAAACATTTTCGTAGAATGACTCCTTTTTTTTTTTTTTTCCCATGTAGTATATAAATATGTAAAAATGCAGCTTTTTGGTTATACTTTCCTTTTCTTCTGTCTAGAATCCCTGGAAATTATATCCACTGCGGCAAGTCACTCGAATAGCGCAATTAGAAAGATGGTAAATGATCCTTGTTTTCCTGTTCACTTTTCAATATATTGTATTTTGAGTATTTGGTGAAGCTAGGAGGTGTGAATTGCAAATCTTTTCTAAAATGGCAAAAATTGTTTTCCTGGATCAAAGTAATGTATTTATACAGCTCCTGGGAATGATAGGCAAAATCTGGCATTGCACTTAATTCCCTCAAGTGGAAAATGGGATACTTAGTTCCTCCCCTGGCTCAAATAACTGATATTGCATTGAACTCTTAACCTTGTTTTGTCTGTTTCTATCGGTGCAAGGATAATGTTTGTGAAGAGTAGCTACTGTTTCTCTGACCTATTGGGTGGGCACAGTAGGTACTTCATTAATATGTGAGAAGTTTTGGGAAGAAATAATGCAGAGTGTATGTATAACTGCATTTTTTAACTTGCCAAGGATATAACATCTAAAAGTATGTCTGACTTTATCAACTAGGTTAATCAGTCAGACCATGCATGCCAGGTATATTTGTTTTTCAGAGGTAACGTTCTCCAAACTTGTGCAAGCGCCCATCATTTAATTTAAACATGCTTAAAGATCTGTGCTTTCAATTAGTAAGTCTTATAACTGTATTTTCACCACATAGGAGAATCTAAAGAAGTTGCTAGAGATATATGAGATGCTGGGAGAAGAGGAGGACATTGTGAACCCTTCAAATGAACTGATAAAAGAAGGCCAGATCCTTAAACTCGCTGCTCGCAATACGTCTGCTCAAGAACGGTATCTTTTCCTAGTAAGTACAGTGGCCTGTGTTTGCAGGGGTGGCTGTATACCTTTCTAGACTTGAAAGAACTACTAAAGAGAAAGGGAAGTCCTCTCTAGTTGATGTCTAGGGTGGGTGTGCTGCTCTACAGAGCACGTGGCCTGTGGTGCCCAGGGTCGTGGGGTGACTGTTGGGCTGTGCCCATCAAGCTGGGAGACAGACTCAGCTGATGGTGGTCACTGTCACTGACCACCTACCACACAAGCTCTTCTGGGTACCTCTTCTGGCTGCAGAGGTACCCTGCCTTGCTCCAGTGCTGAGAGATTGGTGTTGCACTGGATCCAGCCTATGAATGTTCACAGAGGGTAAAATGAATCACTTGCCAGACTCCTTTTCCTGTGCCCGCTGCAGTCCCTGCAGTTTCAGAGCTCTCATTTGCTAGTTCATAGACAGATTTAGAATGTTATCTCAGGGTGACTCCATGCTGAACAGGCTTATGCTCAGTGGGCTTCATTTATTTCTGACTTCTTGGCACATGCTGTCCTGGCAGCTCCACGGTGTTCTCCTGGTATCTCCCAAGTCCCTCCAGAAAAACATTTAAGTGGCTGTTGATTATAAATGTGGCTCCTAGAGCATTAGAACTTTGACCTTCTCATTAAATTGAAGTGTAAAAGCTTAGGATTTTAGTCCTGATGAATTGTGTGTTGAGGTTCCAGTAATGCTCATGGTCCTCTGGGAGCTTGTTAGCATGGGCAGGTCATCCTCTCGACAGGTGCCTGTGTCCTGTCTTGGAACTCACAAGCTGCAGCCATGCTCCCTTACAATTCCCTTGGAAAAGGTTTGATGTAGTTAATTGCTTTCCATGCATTAAAAATTGCTGATGCATTTTTGCTTACGGGCCTCTGGCATTGCCTGTCTTCTGCTTAATAAAGCCTAGTAATGAGTCGTCAAGGCACAACTCCTGCTTAACTGTGCTTCAAACAAAAGGAGAAATCATTGAATAGTAAGACCTCAAATGGAGCTAGACAGCTGATTAAAATAATGTTCTCTTCATATGAGAGATGACAAGTTCAAATGTGCTGTGTCTGTGATACAGTCTAGGCAATAGGCTAGACAGGAATTCTATGACATAGGATTTAACTGAAGTGAGTTTTTCTTCTTAATAATTAATTTTGAGAAAAATGTGAGAGGAAAAATGTGAGAAAATTAAACACTGTAGATATGATTTAATAACTGTGCTTCCAGGCTGGGGCTTTAGACATTTTAAAGTTCTAGTTTTTAATAAAGGTATATATCTTTGTCCTATTCATGTACTTTTTTTTTCCCCCCGTGATATGGAGGTTTTCAGGGAATAAAACCTCTAAGAAATGTTCTTCTGTCTTGGATAAAAGACAAAAAATGTCCTCAAATAATAGTAGTTACAACTTCTACAAAACCAACTGGATAAATATAAATGTATACACTGAAGAAAAGAGTTCTTATTCTGCAGTTTAGAGTAGGTTTTGCAGCATTGGGGCATAAGAATGGGGTTTTTGTTTAGAAAAGCTTTACATTGGTATATAATATCTAGTCTGAGTATAGTTTGATAATAAATGCTATGAAGACTGCTGCATATACAGAGCAATTATTCTTATAGTCACTGCAGCTGTCCTTTAATCTTACTTCTAAACAAATAAGAAAAAAGCAGTTGTCTTACATGAGAAGACCAAAGCTCTAATGCATCGATTGATCAGGAAGGAGCCTGCTTCCTCACCCACCAAGTCTAGCTTTGCAATACTGTCCAGCTCTCAGTGTCCAAACTGTGGCTTTATCTGTGTTTTTTTAAATGAAAAACCGTGTGTTTTTTTTTTTTCCCCAGTTTAACAATATGTTACTCTACTGCGTTCCCAAATTCAGCCTGGTAGGATCAAAGTTCTCAGTTCGAACCAGAGTTGGCATAGATGGTATGAAAATTATAGAAACTCATAATGAAGAATATCCACATACTTTTCAAGTGTCTGGAAAGGAACGAACACTGGAGTTGCAGGCCAGGTAAGCAGTTGTTTTAGCTAGTTTTTTGAGGATTAAATATGTACACACAAAAGAGTGGACTAATAGATTTGGAGAAAGATGCAGTAGATGTCATTAAAATATCACTGTTTTGAAAATAGCCTGCCAAAAAATCATAAATTGTCAGTCCAAGGATCTGATGCATCGACAAAGATATGCTTGTATCCTGCTCTTGCTGAGTTACCTTCCCATTAACTTTTTGCATTGCCTAGACTAGATCTTTTCTGTCTAGGCTGCCCCACTTCAAATAAAGTTGGGTGCTCTACCTCTCCTTTTGGACCTGCTTCAAGATCCTATTCCTAGCAGTCAGGATTTCGTTGCAGAGAGGTGAAGGTTAAATAAGCAGGAAGATGTCCATGGTGGATACAGTTCTGTGTTGGCACCATGGATTTGGGGACAAACCATGGCTTGCTAGCCAATGAGCTTACAAGTGACTGTCCTTTATGAAATAAAACCCTTTTAAAAATTAATGAGAGTTACAGCAGTGAATATGCGAAGATAACAGATACATGTTAATGTAGATATTTACCTACACTAGCACTGAATTTGAAATTAAATAGAAACTTTGAAAAATGACAGGAAAAAAACTTTCCACTAAGGTCTATAAGACTTCTGGGACATGTTTATGCCTATCAATCACATCCACTGTAAATTGCTGTATGATATCTTGCTAAGTATTTTGCAAGTTGTTGTGCCATATACCCATTTCAGTGGTGAAAGATGGCATCTTGCTGCACTGTTTGTAAAGCATGTTTTAATCGGAAGAAAAACTATACAGTGAAGGAAGTTTATTTTGTTAACTTTCCTCTATTACCAGTAATTGAAAGTTTATTGCACTAGTTTGTTTTAGGTGTGAGAAGCCCACATTTTAATCTTTTGCTTTATGATCATTATTGGAAGGCATTAACTCTGTACAAAATTGTGAAGGAATAAGTACCAAACAAGGTCTGACTCATATATATTAGAATAATCTTTATTAATGTATGAGTATTGTATGTATGCTATATCTTAATGTCCTTAATTCATGAGCTTGTTTAGTTTACTCTCAGGGTATTTTTTATTACTAGCCTTCTATTTACTTTTCAGACTACTATTGGATTACATTTTAAATTACTGTTTTTCAAACAGTATCTAAGGAGGAGGCCACTTTTGAAGAGCCAGATACACTGAAGTGTTAATTCTCATGTTTCTAACATAAAGTTTGGAGATAAACTTTTTCTTACTAGCACTAGCCAGTAGTTTCTAATAGTATTATTACTTGTGACATAAGATGCCTTTCCCAAGATTTGAGTGTCAAAGTGCTGCTGATATATTTAAAGGCAAAGCTGTCATACAAGATTAGGGTTGGATATGCTTCCTCTCTTATCTTTGACTTGTCTGTTTATCTCATCTGTACTACTGTTAAGTCATCTGTATCTGTTGTGATGCATAAAAGGGACATTTCTGCTCTTTGGTTTACAATATTAAAACATGTGTTTCCTTTAGTTTAATTGGATGCAATTCCTGTCACTGTTGAGAACAGCAACAACAAAAAAGCATTAAGGAAATCACTTAGGGGAGGGAGTGAGATTTAAGAGGTACACGGGAGAAACATGTATTAGTATGTGAACTTATAAGTAATGAAATGTGAGGAGAAAGACACACCTAAGCTGTGCATTGTCCTCTTTTCCTCTCTATCCTGATTTAAAAAATAATAATCATAAAAAAAGTCTAACAATGAAAATACTATTGCTACTTTTAAATGCATTGACATTTAACTTATTACTTGAATTCACTTCTTAGTGGTTGCAAATTTTTGAAGCCTAAGGTCATGGTCTTGCCTTCTGGTTTGGTTTGTTTTTTTAAAGTTTGACAGTTAAAAATTAATATTGTTTAAATTTAAATTCTTGAGAATTACTTCAGAATTAGCTGGCTTTTGCAAGTAATTGATAGTGAAGTGTTTCCTGAACCAGTCTTGGACTAATGTGTCAAAATATTTCTTTTAGTTCTGAACAAGATAAAGAAGAATGGATAAAGGTAAATTCATCTACCTTCTTTATTTTCTAATCACTTTTTCACTGAAGCAATCAAAAAAGTAATATTCATATTTTCTGTCTGTACCTTCCCTCTGCTGATCGAGAACTGGTCAGAATGCTGAGTCTGTTTTTAATTTAACATGTTTGAGGAATTTCTCCACTGTTTCCTTAGGCACTTCAGAGTACTATTGAAGTTTTTCAACAGAGGAATGAAACTTTCAGAAACGCTATTGCTAAAGAATATGAAGACATGCCTGTCGAGGTTTCTGTAAGTTGCTGTTATTCCTTTGTAACCTTCTTAGTACCCATTTTGTTCTTCAGTAAGTGGAACAAGTTTGGCAGAAACTTTGTTTTCAAGCTCATTGTTCTTATAGCAGAGTAATTACAGAGTAGTCATCTTGTTGGTAATTGTTTTTCTTCATAATGCTGAATCCTATAAACAAGCCTCTTTCTCTCTTGAAACTCATAACAGAGCACCCTTTCAATGATGCCTTGTGATTTTTGACTGGGTCCTTTGTTGTTTCTTTTATAGATTTCAAAATGCATCTTGAGCTATGTTTTGCCATTTCCTTTCCAGAGGAAGAGAATAATTATTTTCTCTATTTCAAGCACTGTGCAACTTTTTACTAGCTTTTTTTTTTTTTTATTCTATTATCCTCCTCCTGCCCCTGCTTCAGAACGCCGAGCTTGGGAAGAGAGCGCCGAGGTGGATACGGGACAACGAAGTGACCATGTGCATGAAGTGCAAGGAGCCATTTAATGCCCTGACAAGGAGAAGGCACCACTGCCGAGCATGTGGACATGTGAGTGCAAAGCCCTAGTACCTGTAGCTCGTCAGCAGGCTTGGGAATGTCTCCAAGCATCTACTTGACTTCCCGTGACTCCTTGTTATCACAGAATAGCTTGGGTTGGGAGGGTCCTTAAAGATCATCTAGTTCCAACCTCCCTGCTATGGGCAGGGACACCTTCTACTAGACCAGGTTGCTCAGAGCCTCATCCAACCTTCCAGGGATGGGGCATCCACACCTTCTCTGGGCAGCCTGTTCCATTGCTGTGCAGTTTGTTGCTGCACTTGTAGCTGAAAGAAGCAGCTCTGCATTAGCACAAAGGACCCTCTGGCTACTTTAGCTGGAATGGTAAATTTGGAAGTAATTTGGAGCGGTGGAAGATGCATGTTTGTGTAAAATACCCCAAGTCCCTGGACATACTGTATTGTTAATTTTGAGTGGCTTCCACTAATATGAACAGTTTCAAGACCATATTAAGCTGGCATAATCCAGCATTATTTCTGGCAGCACTGGCTGCCTCCTCTTTCCATTCTGCTACATCCTCTCTCCTCTTAGCAAGGAGACCATGAAACCCTGCAGTTATTCATTGGGTTAACTTGGAGCTGTTCCCACCTGGGTTCACTGTGTAACTGTGTGAACATGTGCATCAGGGAAGTCGAGAATGTTAGGATGGGGAAAGAGTATTGCTGCTGCTTTCCGTGTAGGATGTTACAGTAACATATCCAAATAGTGGTATGACTTGAGAATTTTTAGAAGTTAACAAAAGAAGAGGAAACAAACTTCCTTCTCTTGGCATCCAGCAGCTATGCCTTTCTCCACCAGAGGGTGGTACAAGCCCAGGTTTAATATTTGCGTGATTTCTTTCTAATGTTTTTATGTGGTATGAAGACTTACTGCATTCATTTATGCTTTGCAGGACACTTGAGACTTTTACAGAAGCTCCAAATTATTGATTCTGTTTTTTTTTTTCCCCCCAGTCATTCTGTTTTAAAACTCCATTAATCTTAAAACTGCACCCTTCCTTTTTATTTCCCCTTTTGTTTAGACTCTTAACTACTTCTCTCTATTGCTGCTCCATCACATCTCCTTGCACTTTAATTTTAAAACTTTTTCGTGGGTCAGCAATGGCTTTCCAGCAGTGACTAATGGGGAATACTTCACTAGTATTCTCTAGAGCCACTAGCTGAAGGTACTGATCTAGATTAGTACTGCAAAGCCCTGGCCCACAATAAAATTCTCTTCATGTGTCTGACTGATTCAAGTCCATTTGCCTACCTTTCTTTCTTGAAATAACCACACTCATATTTTTTATTCAGAGCTTCGTCTTTCACCTGAAAAAAGAATTCTGTGGAAAAAGTATTTCTCATGAAAGAACTTCTCTCAAATCTCTCTCACATTTCCTTTATATCTGTAGTGAAAAGAAAAATTGGGAAAAATCAGTGTGATATTGCCTTATCAATTCTAAAAGTATAAATTATTTCTGATTTTATCATATTTTTTTAATCATTAAAAGGGCATCTCAGTTGTAGGTTTCATTCATTCACAGAACCTCATTTCTGATAGAAGACCATATAGTAAATCTACCTTTTCACATTGGCATCTAAAGAAACTGTAGGATTTTCTTCCTGCAGCATGACTTGTGCTATATTCTGATTCTATATCCAATTTTAATCTACAGACGTAATTGAAAGCCTAATGTGATTTTATGCAAAGTGCAAAACTTGTACCAGGTAAATAGTAAAAAGCACTTCTAGTTAAGAAGTAATGGCAAAAATTTGGAAAATCATTATTTTCAGTTAAGTTATTTTTGTCATGTTATAAAGGCATTATCTATCTTGTTCAATATAATTAAAAATGTACAAAGTAGAATAATACTAATTTTTAGTTAAATTATATTTTCATAAAGCTTCATAAATACTTAAATTTTATATGTATGTTATCTTTTTTGTTTCTAAGGTGGTTTGCTGGAAATGTTCTGATTACAAGGCACATCTTGAATATGATGGTAATAAATTGAACAAAGTCTGTAAGGACTGCTATCATGTTATAATTGGTTGTACAGACAGTGAAGAAAAGAAGAAGAAAGGCATCTTGGAGGTATGTCATTCAAAAATACTGTATATGTATGAATGCTATGATTTTGGCTCATCAGAAGGTGAAAAATGATAGCATTCTTGCAGGGCTTATTTTTTGTTTGAGAAATAAAAATCATGCGGATCAAACTCATCCTATCCAGTAGATTTTGGCCTTCAGCATTCACCTTTGCAATACTGCTTTGTTTCTTACAACTTTTTTTAAGGGGGAATTACAGACCCTAGAGGTCGTTTGCTTATTTTGGTTACATCAGCTCCTGTGATAAGACATTACCTTTCCTTATAAATTTTCAGTTTTCTTCTTCTGCGTTTAAGCTTTCACAGCAACAAACCCCACAGCTACTGCAGTGATTCTTGAAAACATATACCCAGACTGAAAGAACTGGGGATGGAAAAGAGGAGAATGGGGGAGAATTTTGCTCTTCAGAGTCTGAGTAGTAAGATAGTTTTGATCAATATATACAATGTACCTTTAAGTTGTCGAGCTGCTCTCAGCTTTTGACATCTAAAAATTCAAGGTCTCAAGCAGACAATAAAGAACCATGTTTCTCTTATGATCGGGGGAGAACAAGGCATTTTAGAATTGTAATTAACCTCCACATTTCTTAAATGCCTCTTGATAGGCCCTTTTAAAATTCCTGTCATACACTAGAGAAAGAGCATCCTAACTTTGTCAAGACATATATTTATCTTGGGAATTAGTAAAGAATAATTGACCCTAGAGCTAAATGCCAATAAGAAAAGAAGGCAAAATTAAAATACAGATTATAATTCCATATACAGTTCTTAAGTGTAGTCAAGCCAACATGGATTCACTATACTCCCTTCCGTGAGACAGAGTAAGGAGTGCAGAACTCCACTGGCTTCCCTTAGAGTCGAGATACTGCTGTTTCTTGGCATGATGGTTGTTTTAAGGTAGTTGAAGGAGATATAGAGCATCTCAGAAATGTTTGTCTGCAAGCTGGATCTCTTGGCAACAAAATGGTTGGTACCACGTTGCAGCATTCAGACAGTACTGCTGCTGGGAAGGGGAAAAAAGTCAATGCAAGGAAATTTTAACACATAATCACTGTGTTCTTTCTGATTGTCTCAGGTTCACTATTTAACCTGAGTAGCATGTCACTCTGTCTTCAGAGTGTCTTCTTTTCTCTAGTATTAGTGCTTGCATGCCTATGTTATTCTTAGAAAAGTGTTTGGATCTGATCCTGTCATAATATTTTGACTGTCAAAATAGATTGGTTGTCATGTTGGATAATTAGTGGCACTTCAATGCCTAACATGATGTTATTTTGGAAATCGGACGTTGTGGATACTCAGATACAAAGAAAGGCTAGTTGTGGTGGCAAAATGAATTTTAGAGAGATCTAGAAGTCTATAATCCAAAATTGCTGATGAAAAAAGGAATAGATTACACATGTTAAGGGAATATATGTTGTGACTGTATATGTTTAATATATATATTCTCCATAAATCCAGTCCTTCTTGGTCTTTCTTGAAGCTCTTTTGCAGATGCTACCCAAGATTTTATATGAATGATGATAAATTTCTGCTTTTCTGGCCTGTATATTTTTAGACTTTATTTAAGAAAAGTTTTTGTTCCTTTTTATGCTTTGTACTATCTCCCAGATTGAATCTGCAGAAGTTTCTGGAAACAGTGTCATATGTAGCTTTCTTCAGTACATGGAAAAGTCGAAGCCCTGGCAGAAAGCTTGGTGTGTTATACCTAAACAGGAAGCTCTTGTGCTCTACATGTATGGTGCTCCACAGGTACGTGCAGAGAAAATGGAAAAGGTTTTAGTAATTATTGTCACTGACATCTGAGGAAGAGAAGTCAAATAGCTTGGGAATGCAGGATAGATCCAAGTGTTTTCACCAGCCTGTATAGTAAATGAGAGGTAGTGGGCAGAGTAGTTGTCCATTCTTAACCAAGAACTTCTTTTTCTTAGGACGTTAAAGCTCTGGCTACAATTCCCCTTCTGGGCTATACAGTGGATGACACTCCAAAAAGTGCTGACCTCCCACACAGCTTCAAACTGACCCAGTCTAAATCTGTGCACAGCTTTGCTGCTGACAATGAGGAACTGAAACAAAAATGGCTAAAAGTTATCCATTTAGCTGTCAAAGGTGAGACACCAGAATGTCAAAATGAACTGCAAGTGAATTTAGAAGAGCAGCCTGAATCTTCTAAAAGATCTGAATGCTGAAGCTCAAGAACACATGGCATTTTTAAAAGATTTCAGTTGAAATTGTGGTTAACCTTTGTGTTAACCTTTCTTTGCTCAATCAAGAAAAAAGAAAAAAAAAAAAGAAAAAGAAACTTCTTACTACCATACACATCTTGGCACTTTATGTTTGGGAAAAATTCTGGTCTTTTTAGGGATCTTTTTCTTATATTTATGTTCTGTCAATAAAAGAGATGTACAGGTTCATTTAAGAGACTTTTTAAAAAAATGTGAATGCTATTAAAAATACTTACTAACTTTACTGTACTGCTTGTTTGTCATAATGCAATTTTTTTTTTTGAGAATCCAGTTGCTCTTCAGTTAACATTTGCTACTTTCATTAAGAATGCAAATATTTTAAGCTTCCTACTTACATGTTAGGACTTGCAACAGGATAAAAGATATACCTCCACATTGCCAAAATAGATCTGTACTTAAACATGCAGGGACAGTTTGGTTTAATGTATGTAGTTTATAGATTGATTTCCACAGATCTGTACATATGTTGTATTCACTTGTCTCTTTTACTTAAAATAATGCAAATTGCTTTCACTGGTATATTGGCTTTTAAGGTTTCAGTTTATCAAGGAAAAAAAATCTAATGATTTTCAATCTAGAAATAAAATATGAGAAAACTATATATAATATATGTACAGTATTAAAAACGTACAATACTTGATTTGTGCTTTGATTTCATGATTCTGGGTTCCTATTAGTGAATAATTTATTTTAAAAAAGCATGTTTTCTATTTGAAATTAAACACAGTCCTAAATTGAAAAATACTGTTCAGTGACTTGTTTTAATAGCTGACACTTAATGATCTTGATATTTTTATGCATAAAAAAATAGCAGTAATGTAAGTGGCATGCAATGGACATATGAGTTCCAGTTGTGTTTTAAACGAGTAGTCGCTTTTCTTCGGTGTCCTATCACTGGTAGCTTTTAAGAGTGCAGTAGTTTGTTACTCAAATGCAATATGTGGTTTGAGAAAAGCAACAGATTCTAATAACCTGCTGGGAACGTGTGTTTTTGCTGTTATGGTTATCGAAACAAAAGAACATTTTGAACTTAAGTTTTTTAATTTTTGCAGAAGATTAGATCCTCTAATACTTATTTATGACAACAGTCTTCAAGGATTATTGTTGTAAGGTGGAGCCTGCTTTATAAAAGTTCAATATGAAGTCTGAGCTTGCAAATCTCAAGTTGTGTTAACTAACATTATTTGTTTTCTTCGTCTGTGAATAAGGACTTGTTAGCTTTACAATATTAAGTTCCTTTTGAACTTTCATTCCTATTAGAGTTTTTATACATAGAGGCAAATGACCTCCCCAAAATTTTTGCTGTAATTATCCTTGGATGAAATATGAAAAACTCAGAAGTAGTGATTGACTATCAAGTAGACAATTAAAATCATTGCTGTCTTTCCTTTTCTGAACCATTAAAGGAGAGGAAATATGTAACTTCTACAATCAACTCGTCATAAGACCATTCAGGAGTCTTCTCAATATATCTGCAATCTGTATTTTAAATTCTGCCAAGCTGCAGAGCTCAGGTTCAAGTCCAGTTTTCTTAGTAACATGAGGGCAGATTTAAATTGTTGCTTTTTTATAACAAGTTTGCCAAATGAATTACTCACCGAACTCCCATTCCCACTTTACTCTTTCTACAACATTATAGGGAAAAAAAAATCCCAACTTGTTTTGCATTTAACAAAGGATTGTTAAATTTTTAGCGTCAAGCGTACATGAGCATGCAGTGTCCATTGTTCCTTCACAAGAAGAATGTCATGCAACTTAATGTTAGTAGGATGGATTTTGCTCTCACCTCCACAAATCCAAAATCTACCATAGCCTTTAAATTTCAAAGCTTTACACCAGTGTTAGTAATGATCAGGACGTGGTATTGTAGAGTACTAACTCTGCAGCTGACTTTTGTGCATGTCACTTCTGAATTCTTCCTTGGGTGCTCCGTGTGTCCAGAATATTCTGCATGATACCCTAGTATTACTTTTATCTGATGTGCAAGCTCTTCTGTAATTCTCTAAGAAATTTTAAGTTACTTCTACTGTTGGCTGTGTTTACCTTTATTAATAGGCAGCTCAAGCCTGTTTTGATTCATGTTGGTGAGTACCAACAGGTCCTTGCCAAGGTATCCCTAGCTAATACATATCACCTTGTGTGTTCCTTGGTGAGGGATGGGGGAACATTCAGGTAAGCAAGAAGAACTCTCAGTGGCTATCTTTCTTTCATGGTCATCTCCCCAAAGTGGATATTTTCTACAAGAGCCACCAATGCAATTGTGGGATATGGAGAGTTGTCTTACCATATTTCAATTTATAGAAAACGGTTTCCCATGGTGTGATGGTTTCACTTTAGGTCTTCCTGGAGACCAGCTTGAAACCAGGAAGGAACTGGTTGTAGACTGTAAGGGAAGAAGTTGCCTTAGAAGAGTTCCCAGATAAGATGGACTGAGCTATACTGAAAATAATATGATGGGATGACTGTAATCATAGAATCGATTTGGTTGGAAAAGACCTCTAAGATCATTGAATCCAGCAATTACCCAGCACTGCCAAGTCCGTCACTAATCATGTCCCTAAGTGCCACATGTCTTTTAAATACCTACTGGGATGGTGACTTAACTCCTTCACTGGGCAGCCTGTTCCAATGCTTGACCACCCTCTTGGTGAAGAAATATTTCCTGATATCAAATTTAACCTCCCCTGGTGCAACTTGCCATTTCCTCTTGTCCTGTTGCTTGTTATGTGGGAGAAGAGACCAACCCCCACCGCACTGTAGTCTCCTTTTAGGTAGCTGTAGAAAGCAATAAGGGCCCCTGTGAACCTCCTTTTCTCCAGACTAAACAACCCCCCTTCCTTCAGTCACTCCTTATCAGACTTGTGCTCCAGACCCTTCACCAGCTCCGTTGCCCTTCTCTGGACACACTCCAGCACCTCAATATCTTTCTTGTTGTGAGGGGCCCAAAACTGAGCACAGGATTCGAGGTGCCAAGTACAGGGGGGCAGTCACTGCCCTGGTCCTGCTGGACACATTATTGCTGATAGAGGCCAGGATGCCATTGGCCTTCTTGGCCACGTGGGCACACTGCTGGCTCATGTTCAGAGGCTGTTGACCAGCATCTCAGGGCCTTTTCCACTGGGCAGCTTTCCAGCCACCCTTCCCCAAGCCTGTAGTGCTGCCTGGGGTTGTTGTGACCCAAATGCAGATCCTGGCACTTTGCCTTGTTGAATCTCATACAGATGGCTTGACCCATTGATCCAGCCTTTCCAGGTCCTGGAAGAGCCTTCTTATCCTCCAGCAGACCAACATCCTGCACAGACTGGTGCTGTGTAGTATATTCTGTTTTCTAAGCTCCTGCAAACTGAATTCTAAGTCAAGTAGGAAGCCCTATTCCAGCTAAATTATAAGGAAAACGATTGGAAGCAGCAGTTTCTGTGCTGCCTTATTGTTATAGTGGTATTGAGTAGCTGAAGCTGCTTGAATGGTTGCAGCATCTCCCAGATGAAACCCTGCATTTGGGCATAAACAATTTGAAATTAAGTTATTGGGAGTTATTTATTTGGATGTTAACCTCATGTTTGCTCTCAGCCATTAAAATTTATATAGCACAGGGTATTTTATTTACCCTAGTGAGACCTATTTCATGTTCTCATAATCAGTTGCTTGGTCAGAATTGTTCTCTTCTGAGTCAGAATGCTTTGGCACTCAAATATACAGTTCTGTGTGCATTTTGTAGGAAAAGTATGTACTACCAATATTAAAGGGCATCAGAAGATGGAGAAATTGGTTTAAATTTAACCACCCTGTTTTCTTCATTCTCCCCAGACAAGCCCTCCTACAGCATCCAAAACTTTAAATTGTAAATTATGACTGCAGAGGAACAAATTCAAGGTCGTAACTGCTGTGGCTTAAGTGTTATGGCCAAAGCAGTGAAATTAAAGCCATCATTCTAACAAGGTAGAAACTGTTCCCACTTCTACTGTTAAACTCTTAAAGGAAAAGAAAAAAGGCATTAAATTTATTAGCATAAAGCTGTGTGTGTAAGGAATAAACTGTAACTGAGCATTCATTCATAATACATGAATGAATGTGAATGGCTCTGCTGAATTATTTAAGCTTTGCAATTCTTGTGTTCAAGAAATGCTTGTTTCTCACTTTAAAAGTGATCAGTCTTCTGTGCAATTTAAAGCAGATCAAAAGTTATTTTGTGTGATTTTGTCTGTGTTCAACCAGAACAGTGGCTTAATTTTATCATTAGTATTTTTTGGAGCATAGTAATATATTTTTTGAAATTACTTATTCCCCCCCCCCATCACCCCATCATGGGAAAATAGTGTGTCACGACATCTGCACGTCTGTGCCATTTGTCAAAACCCTCTAAAAATTCTTTTTGGGTATCAGGTACTCCTGCTTGGTTGAAGAGCTGCTATAAAACCTAGATCATCTAGTACCTTCAAATCCCTTTACTCTGAGTAGTTTTGTTTATTTCAGAACATATTTAACTTATATGTGCAAAATAGATATTGAGAATACAAAACATCCTCTTCTATTTGGAGTAGAATATTAAACCACTTTAATTGCATGTAAATATATAGTGGCACCTTTTTATGCAAAACTATCTCAAAGTGCTTTATAAATCTCCTCAAAGATTCTAAGTCCCTATCCTAGAAAAGAAGGGTTTTATTCTTTGTGTTTTCAAATTACAGATGAAGACAAGGCACTGATTAAATGTAGAATAAATACACTACCACCTAAGTAAAATTTAGGTGAGATTATAGAAGTATGCTCTAAAGATTTCCAAGTGGAGTCAGAAGGAAAAAAATATATATACATATATAAAAAAAAATAATCAAGTGTGAAAGATGTGGAACCATTTGACAGGTTGTTTTGGTTCATCACCACATAGCTAGTATAAAAAATGGTCAGCTTTTCATTTCAAGACAAAATTAAATAAAAATTAACAGGGGGTAGTGGTTCCTTATACTGAAGGAAAGGCTTTCAGGAAAAAAATAAACGTTCCACGTAGAAATAATTCTAAGCAATAACAAAGGGGCTTTCTCCATAAATCTGTTTAGAGATCTTTTGCTGGTGTAAACCAGCATAGACCTGCTGGAGCTGTTCTACCTTCAGAGATTTAAATTCACTTAGAATCTGCCTTACATATATAAAGACACTTGTGGAAGATCAAACTTTCACTGGTAGCTGTTGACCTACTATGTCTCATCTGAAGTCACAGTGGTAAGGTGGACTTCAGACGAGTTTCAGTTAGAGGTAATTGATGTAAAGCTGTATGTAAACAGCTGGAAATCTATATCCAAAGTAAATGATTGGAGAAAAATAATTTTGTGGCAGAATTGACTATCCCTGAGATAAATCCATTGGTGAAATGGGCCTCATTCTTAGTCTGTGGTGTGCTGTTATTTGAAATATGAAATGAAATGGAGTTAAAGTTTTTTTTTCTCTAGTTTGTGGCCCTATTGGTGTGAGGAATTTACCTAGCTGGTTCTGACCCGTGGGACTGTAGTGAAGTATGTTCCTTGGATAGAAGTTTTAATCTGCTAGTCAGATTGTTTCCTAAATCCTTTTCCTTTAACAGAACATAACATTAACTTAATGGTTACATGTGTGTGTATATACACATATGTGTATGTATGTGTGTATATGTATATATGTGTATTTATATATTTGAGACTATTATTCAGATGACTTGTTTTCAAGCAGTATTTTACAATCAAAAAATACACTGTGCTGCATTCAAAA